TGTTCTCCACATTCTAGGTCTGATGTTTTCTTGTGTTATCAAAGCTTCTTGTTCTATGTCTGTCTTACAATAGAGATTGCATTACCCACAAGAAGCTAAGTTAGCTTAGAGCCTAAGTAATTTAAAGTTTTAAATCTTCTGGTTTATGGGTCTGTTTCTGTTTTTTTTTTTTTTTTCCAAAGATTTATTTATTTGTGCATACAGAGCTGGGGTACAGGCCAGAGGCTTAGGGTGGTGAGAGGCTTCACCAGAGACAGAGTGGGGAGCAGAACAGGCAGATCTACGAAGTACACTGCTGAGGGGAGCAGCGGGCGGGTCAGGAGAGGTCTGCCATGCCATGTAGATCTCCTCCAGGACAGGCAGGGATCGAACTCATGCAGAAGTGGCTTTAGCTTCTCAGTGCTGTGCTTTAACCCGCTGCGCCACCAGGGAGGGCCCATGGGTCTGTTTTAATGTGGGTTCCTTGTGCTCTGAATCTTATAATTGTTGGATGACTCCAAAAGAATTTTAGGAGAAGGAATCCTTCAACACTCCCTCAGGTAATTGTTCTAGAGAAGCATCTTCCTGACCGATTGGATGGTCAATCTACAGTGGTTCCATGGTTGAAAGTCAAACTGTTTTTGATTTTCTGGAAAGTGACTGTCTTTCAGACTGAACCCACAAATCATGATGAAACCACAATAGAAAGTAAAATGAACATATTTCAGAAAAATCTCTTCTTCTACACCCATGCCCCATTCTTACCCCTTTTCACCTAAGAACCACATCTCTGTTTCTTGTGTTTAAAACAAACTACTTGGCTTTGGATTGAAGAACAAATCCAAAACCTTAGAGCAATCTTCCATTTTGTTCCTCTCCTTTCTGAGTATTCTGTGTATATAAAGGAAACATTGTTTCTTAACATTATTTCATAATTAAACTGCATTGTGAACATAAACAATTCATTTTTGAGCTTTGAGATTTTAGGCAGATCTTAGGCTCAAAATTTCTATGAGCTTATGTTTTCCCATTAATAACACCTCATAAGGTTTTTTGTGAAGTTAATTAAATAAAAGCATATATACAACGTACCTGGCACAATGCCTAGAACATAAGTAAAAACTGAGTAAATATAATCCCCTTTCAGGTTTATTATAAAATCACCATCTAAATGGTTGACAAGATTATGGATGGTTTCATGGAAAAGATCATTTTTGAACAGGTTCTTCAAGTTCAAGCCTGGGTGGAATATGGTAATGGAGGGGTGGGAGAGACATGTTCAGAGTAAATTAATATAGTAGGCCAGGGAGTGAAGGTTCAGAGGCTGTAGCTAAGGAGAACCATCTTGTGCTTTTTGAGTTAGTCTAGGCACAGTGAAGGAAAAGATTGCATATTTGAAATCTGCCAAAAACAAAACTCAGGAAAATTATGGACTGGCAGGATCCAAGATGGCTGGCTTGGTGATTGTGTCTCAAGATCTTGAGCTTGGGAAGAGGCGTGGGCATGTGCAAGTGCTATTGAATGAAAATAGGCATGAACAGGACAGAGACAGGGAAAGATGTAGTGGGGGATCCTTGGGGATGAGATTGAAAAAGTAATGGACATGAGGTTACATTTAACTAGATAGTTCAGTATTTAAAACAACAACCACCCCCATATTTGGAAGCAGCCCAAATGTCCAAAAGTGGATGACTGTATGAAAAAGATGTGGTATATATACACAATAGAATATTAGTCAGCAACCCCCAAAAAAGAAACACATGAGTGCAGCAACATGAATGGAGCTAGAAGGGATCATACTTAGTGAAATAAGTGAAAGAAGAAGAAAAATACCGGATGGTTTTGCTCATAGCAGGAGTATAAAGGGCCAGGCGAGAAAATAATAATAATAATGAACACCTCTATACCAGAGACATTATGGGGGTGGGGTGGAGAATGAGATCAAAAACAGTGGGGGAAGGGAAATGCACTGGACTATGGTGATGGCACATGGGTGACTTGGTGATGGGAAACACACCGGGATTACAATTGAGATGAAAAAAATGTACAAAATGATGTAAAAATAAACTATTATATTATTAAAACAACATCAACAACAACAAGGCCCTCGCTGGTTGCACAATGGGTTGGGACGCAGTACTGCAAGTTGGCCATAGCTGCTCAGTGCAAGTTCAATCCCAACCCCAGAGGTGACCCACATGGCACGGCAGACCTCTCCTGACCCGCCCGCTGCTCCCCTCAGCAGTGTACTTCAGCAGTCAGCCTGTTCTGCTCCCCACTTTGTCTCTGGTGAATCCTCACATCGCCCCTGCACCTCTGGCCTATAGCTCAGCTCTGTATGCATAAATAAATAAATCTTAAAACAACAACAATACAATACTTAAGTTGAAAAGGAAGAGACAAACACTAAAGCTTTGGTGGATTTAAAAAGAGAGAGAGAAATGGGCATTTTCACAGAAAATTGTGCTAATTAAAACCCTGGCACTGGATAAAATTTCTTTAAAAGGGAAGGGTTGCAGACCAAGTATTAATATGGTGAAAGTATTCAGTTAGGGTGGAAGGGAGAGGGAAGCTGAATGAACAAAGAAGCACTGGAAGAACATCCAGAAAGTCGGAAGGAGAGCTTGGGAGTGAGGGGAGCAGAGATACAGGTGGGTGGATAGGGAGTCGGGAGCAAATCTAGAGCAAAGAGAGCAGAGAACTGAAACCAAGAGTCAGTATCAGTGGTACCCGTAAGCCTTTTCACTTTTCCTGCTTCCAACCTCTCATCTTTCTCCATGTAGTTACCTTTTCCATTAAACTTACAGAGCAGAACCAGTGGGTAGGTTGTAAGCCACTAACCTCAAAATTCCTTAAGTTTCTTTCACAAAAGACTGAACTCTGTGACCTCAAGCAAAGTCTCTCAATCTCTGTGATTCTTAACCCTTTTATCCTAAATTGGAATACCAATTTTCCTCCTTCTTTTTGGAAAGGTGTGAGGCAGGGATGTAGTCTAAAATCATTTTTGGCTAAAACTGAAGAGAGTAAATATCAAACCTATAATGATGTAGATAAATGGTTGTTCAGAGGTAGTTTTAAATCGCTTTTTCGGATTTGCAGATTTTTTTCAAATTACTTTTTGTAAACTTAGTGACCTGTGCTAATGTTGTTATAAATACTCAGAGTCTCTATAGGGAATTGAAGGTGTTTTGCAGCTTTATGCCTCTTGGACGTAACTGCCATTTGAATCTTAAATTATCTTTACTTTCATGATAGTGAAGACTC